CCAAGAGAGCCAATCTTCCCTCTCATAACTCCCTAAAATGAACATTCTGCTGTAGACTGCCCCCCTTGAAAGCCACTCCAATTCCAGTAAACACTTCCCCACTTACCCTTTACTCATTTATCCATAATCCATTCCATGTGAATTTCTTGAGCACCGATTATGTGCTCTACAGTGTTCTTGATACAGAAAATAGAGAAAGGCAAATGTTTCTACCTCCCAAATCTAGAGCCTGCAGGAAAAACACTCAGATTAAGAGGCAAAAACTGGGTGCTAAGGAAAATGGTGGCGTGCTTCTCTCAAAGGGCAGGTTTTTTTTGTTTTGTTTTAAGATTATTTATTTATTTGTCAGAGAGAGAGAAATCACACAAGCTGGCAGAAGCAGAGAGAGAGAAGCAGGCTCCCTGCCAAGCAAGGAGCCCGATAAGGGACTCAGTCCTAGAACCCTGGGATCATGACCTGGGCCGAAGGCAGCAGCTTAACAGACCAAGCCACCCAGGCATCCCTCAAAGGGCAGTTTTATTCCCACCCCCATATCTTAAACACACACACACACACACCCCTACCTCCAACCCATGCTGATTTATTCACCATTTCATACATTCTTAGAATTCCTGCAGCAAGTCAGTGTAAACCCACAAAGGAGCACTGAAGACAAGCTGTTTTGTATTATTCTGCAAATCCTTCCTCTACATGCAGCTTCTGTCTGTCCATCATAAATATAATTAACGTTCTTCCCATTGCCTAGAGCATTACTGAGCACAGAAGGAGCTCTTAGGAAACCTCTTAGGCTGCCCATCTTTTCTTCGTACTGCAGCCAGAGTGATCTTTCCAAAACGCAGACATCATCTCCCTTTTTAGAAACCTTCCATAGGGGTGCCTGGGTGGCTCAGTGGGTTAAGCCTCTGCCTTCGGCTCAGGTCATGATCTTGGAGTCCTGGGATCAATCCCCGCATCGGGCTCTCTGCTCAACAGGGAGCCTGCTTCCTCCTCTCTCTCTGCCTGCCTCTCTGCCTACTTGTGATCTCTCCCTCTCTGTCAAATAAATAAATAAAATCTTTAAAAAAAAAAAAAAACCTTCCATAGATTCCTTGCCCTTAAGATAAATATCAAACTTTTAGCATAGCCTCTGATATCTTAAGATAAATATCAAAATTTTACCACCATTGTCTGCCTCTCGAGCGCTCTCTTCCTAGCCTCTGTTCCCTCCACAGGGCCCTCGAAACGTCTGCCAGACCCTTCCCTCTTCCTTCCTCAATTTGCATTTTTAATCTCGCTTACCCTTCATATGTCAGCTCTCAAGGAAGTATTTCCTTCCTCAGAAACTTTCCTGCACCTGCCAGTTTAGATAGTGTTCCTCTCTTACTGGCCTCAGTGAACTTTTTCTTTCCTTCAGAGCATTTATCTCAATCTGTCATTAAATCATCACCAGAGGGCTTATTTGATTACTGTGTGCCTCCCCACGAGGCTTTAAGCTCCGAGCGAGCAGTGGCTGTGTTTGGTTTAACTCACAGTCGTGATCTCCAGCACCTGCCGCACGGCTGACGTGTATTAGGTATTCAGTAAGTATCTGCTGGACAGATGCCTGGATGAACACTAAGTGCCTTAATGTGCCATGCTCTGGACTCAGTCGGGTTCACAGTCAGAGGACACAGAGATAAACAATTACTGTGCAGTATTGAGTGTAAGGTGTGATTTTCAATGTCTGCCATGGCCACAGGGTTGGAGAAGCGGCATTGTGAGTGCCTGTGCCTTGATCTACTTGAACTCCATTATGCTGTATTTGCTATTGACCCAGATCTTGACCCCACCACCATCTGACAGGCTTAAATGCTTGTACTTTAGTTCTGGTTTTCAGTCAGGACGGTGAACCTTCTCCAAAACTTTGTGAATAAACTGTGCTCTCTGTATGTCTGCAAGGTAGGGCTACTTGAGCTCCCTTTCTCCCCACGAACTCTGTGGTTCTGTAATAAAATTAGTTTCTAGTAGTTGTGCTTTAAGAAACAGGTTAGAAAAAAAAAAAAAGAAAGCGGTTAGGGGCTCCGTGTGAGGATGAAAAGTCAACAGACTGAACTCGGTCGCCACCTAGTGGCGCTTGCGTGTTTTTCAGAACCAGAAGCCTAGGGCTTGCCCTTTTCTCCACCTGGATTTCTGAACAGGCCTAGGTTACCTGCATCAGAAAAAGCTGTGTGGCCAAGGGGAAGCGTCCCCCTCACATTTCTCCAGCAGTACCTTCAAAGTGTTGTTCCACTGCTCAGCTTCCTTCTTTTAAAGATACCCTAAGGATTCTGGTCCTCACTTTCCACTGAGCTCAGATTGAACCGCTGCACCACCCATGCCATCTCTGATCCTTGTCAGATTTAACCGTCTCTGGTTCTCACGCTTATGTTTCCTGATTATCGGCCAGTATCACGTTTATGTTTCCTGATTATCGGCCAATATCATGTGAATATGAATTAAGTTTTGAAACTTAAGTTTTGAGACTTAATTCATATTCACATGATATTGGCTGATAATAAGCAAACTCACCTCTTCTATTAATATCTATCTGCTCCTTTTTTTAAAATTTTATTTTTTATAAACATATATTTTTATCCCCAGGGGTACAGGTCTGTGAATCGCCAGGTTTACACACTTCACAGCACTCACCATAGCACATACCCTCCCCAGTGTCCATAACCCCACCCCCTCGCTCTATCTATCTGCTCCTTAAATGTAATAACAGAAAGGTGCCTGGAAGAGGTAACACCTGAGTTAAATGTTAAACAATGAAAAGAAGTTAACCAGTCAACAAGACAGGAGAGGGGCAATTTCAGAAAGAGGGAACAGCAGGAGCAAAAAGCATGGAGACCAGAGGTATCATGGAATATACAAGGAAATTCTTTGCAGTTGTTTAAGATCATTATGACCTTATCTACTCTAATTTTGAATAATCCAGCCCCAAATATATTGCACACATGCATTCCACATGAAATATAATTTAAACTTAACCATGAGTGGAGTTGAGTTAAAGTGACTAGTCACCATAATGTTAACTTGTTGTGGGCATGTATTAATTTTAATACATTTTCATTTTTCAGGATAGTTTTGTTATGTGTTTTGAAGCCAATACATTTTCTAACCTCAGATATATAGTGCCTCGTTAATAAAATAGCATAGCAATGCCCAGGTGGCTTAGTCGCTTCAGTGTCCTACTCTTGATCTCAGCTCAAGTCCCAATCTCAGGGTCGTGAGTTCAAGCCCAGCATTAGGCTCCAGGCTGAATGTGGAGCCTACTTAAGAAAATAAAATAAAAAATAAATAAACCAGCATAGCACTAACCAGTTCAGGATTCTTGAGTATAATATTCAGAGTAGAGAATGAAAAGAAGTGAGAGTAAACAGGTAACCGGACACCAAAATACAGAAAGGCTTGAGTACCACCTAAATGACTTGGACTCAGGCCATTAAAGAATTCTGAATGGGAGCGTGTCCTCTCCAGACATGCTTGCCATATAGCTCACTCTGGGAATGGTGTGGAGGACAGATTGGAGAAGACCAAGACTGGAGACTGGGGGAGCCATTTGAAGGCTGATGCAGGGGGCATCTGGGTGGCTCAGTCAGTTAAGTGTCTGCCTTCGGCTCAGGTCATGATCCCAGAATCCCAGAGTCCTGGGATCAGCGGAGAGTCTATGTCTCCCTCTGCCCTTCACCCCACTTACGCGCATTCTCTTTCTCTCTCTCTCAAATAAATAAATAAAATATTTATTTAAGTTTCTAAAAAAGAAGAAAAGAAGAAGAAGAAGAAGAAGGTTGATGCAGAAGTAAGGCTCTACACCTGGGCAAAAGTGAGCCATGGAAGGACAGGAGGGAAAGCAAAGTGAGGAAAGATCCTACAGTGGAAGGGAGGTTTGGGTTGGGCATCACGAGATCTGAGTTTTTGGTCCTAAATCTGCCATTAATTGGACCTCAGTTTCCCCACCTGTGAAATGAAAGGCTCTTCCCTGTTGATTACCACTGCTTCATCTTACTATGTCTGACAAATCAAGTGTGTGTTCTGGGAGTTCAGACCAAGAAGACCTGAAGACTATTTCTCCCACCCAAGTACTAAGCAAGCCCCACCCTACTTAGCTCCAGAGATCAGATGAGAACAAGGCACATTCGGGGTGGTATGGCTGGAGACCGAAAATTATTTCTTAAGATTCTTCTTGGTGCATAAACAGTGAATCTTGGAACACTGAAAAAAATTAAAATTTTTTAAAAAGAAGGAAAAAAAAGGAAAAAATTCTTCCGCCTTCAAGTTGCCAACAATAAGTACTATATAGCAAATGCATATGGGGAACCCATCCTGGTTACAAATCCAAGCCTTCTGCTAGAAAGCTCTGCTTCTTAAGCAGCAAATATCAGGTAAAGATGTACTAGAACATTATATACTCACCAGGCTGTGCGGTTTTTTAAAATAGTGACTTATGGGGCACCTGGGTGGCTCAGTTGGTTGAGCAGCTGCCTTCAGCTCGGGTCGTGATCCCGGGGTCCTGGGATGGAGCCCTATATTGGGCTCCCTGCTCAGTGGGGAGCCCGCTTCTCCTGCTCCCTCTGCTTGCTGCTCCCCTTGCTTGTGCTCTCTCACTCTCTCTCTCTGTCAAATGAATGAATAAAATCTTTAAAAAAACAAAAAATAAATAAAATAGTGGCTTATGGATCTTTAAAAAAATAAATCCCCTTTCCTTTTTGTTCCTTTCTATTGAAAGGGCTTTTTTTTTTTAAATATTTTATTTATTTATTTGACAGACAGAGAGCACAAGTAGACAGAGAGGCAGGCAGAGAGGGGGTGGGAAACAGGCTCCCCACTGAGCAGAGAGCCCGATGCAATGGGGGGCTGGATCCCAGGACCCTGGGATCACGACCTGAGCCAAAGGCAGAGGCTCAATCCACTGAGCCACCCAGGCGCCTGAAAGAGTTGTTTTTAAATCTTCCATCTTTTAAACTTTTCCTGTTGACATTCATTGTTTTGTGTTGTTTCAGATTCCGGCTCTCTTTGCCAGAGTCCAATCGCAGCAATATTGAGGTAGGAATCCAAGCTCTCAGAGTTCCTGTCAAGGGAAAAATGATAGTTTCCCTATATAGTAGCTGAATTAATGTTTTCTGAGCCTCTAAATACTTGATTTCCCCACGAGGGTAGGTTTTAACTTTAAAATTCCTTGTGTAGCTTCTTGTCCAACAACCCCATAACTTTTCAGAGTCCTGAGTGCTAAGCATTACACAATGGAACCCAACCCCATAACTTTTAAACAGGACAGGAACTCTCGAATTTTATCTATTCAGAAAGATACTTAAAAGAATTTTCTTAAACACTAAGACCTATGTAATATTGGCATTTTCAGGGAGATTTTCAGGGCAATTTCATTCTTTGGATAAAATAATCTTTGAGAATTAAATATAAGATCCAAACTCCCAAAGGATGAGGCCATCCGCAAATTATGAGGCCATGACTGAGTTGCTCTTGGAAGCCTTTCTAGCCATCTCCTAAAACCATTGCGAGGCTGGCTGTGCAGATACTTTGGGGTGAGGGGAGGCCAGCTTGGTGACTTCCTGATGGGAAGAGTATATCCCAACTTGGATAGACTTGGAATCGAACTCCACCCCCCAAGCTGCAGGAAGTTCAGCCAGATCACTACTTGGTGTCCTGCCCTTGTGGCACTTACATCGCAGAGCAGCAGTTCTCACGTCGGGCCAGTTTTGCCCCCAAGGAACATTTGGCAATGTCTGAAGACATTTTTGGTTGTCACAGTCCGGGGGATGCTTTAGGCACTTAGGGGGTAGAGACCAAGGATGCCGCTTACCATCCCACAGTGCATAAGACAACCTCCACGGCAAAGAAGGATCCATCCCAAAATGTCAATAGTGCCACTGTTGGCCACTCCTATTTCTAGTGTGTCGGGGGGGGCGGGGGCAGACAACAAGCAAATATATTTTGTCTGCTGAAAAATATTGTAGAGAAAAGTAAATCAGAGCAAGTGTATGGGCTGTGCAGGTGGGGACAGAGTTGGCCGTTCCAGTCTTCAGGTTGTTGGGACGATTCGCTGGGATTATATATGAGGTTCATTTAGCACATTGAATATATGGCAGGTGTTAAATAAATGATCCCCATTGTTCTCATGAAAATTAATTTCAGTTATTGCCACCTCTCTGTCAAGGGGCAGCATAGCACAATGGTTACATCCACAAACTCGGGCCAAAGCGCAGGAGTCAACGCCCACTTACGGGCTGTGTGGCCTCAGTCAGGGCACTTGACCTCTCCCAGAGCAGTCCTGGACATGGTCCTGAACTGATGACCATGTTCGACAGAAGCAGCTATTAAGAGAGGAATAGATGTGAAGAAAATAGCAAAGAAGCCCAGGAATTTATGCAGGTGGCCAGACAAGATGTTTGTTTGTTCAATTTTTAGGAACATCCTGATTTTCAGGTTGGGAAGATTAGAAGCCAGTGACATGAGTGCCAGCAAGCTGGAAAATAAGTTATATTTTCATGCCAGATATTGAAACATAAAATACCCATAGTGTCTCACGCACTGTGGGTCAGCACCTCCATGGCATAGCTCTTTGGTAGAGGACAGACCACAATCAATGAGAACGCACAGCTGACTTTCTCATAAATAACATTTCCTGAGCCTAGAGGAGGCAAAATGAGTCCAAGTCTTCCAGGAAGACCCAGAGAAACTGCTTAGTATCCACAACAGAGTGTGCTAATAATGACATTTCTGGGTGGAAAATATGACAGTGATATAAACTGGGCATCTTACATAATATTCACTTGTTTAATTCCGAGACCAATTGAGACATTAGTGCTGTTATCTTCAGTTCACAGTAGAGGAAACTGAGGCACACAGAGATTAGAGAGCTTTTCCAATTCCACAGAAGTGGTAAAAACAAGAGCTAAACCTACGAAGTCAGCTTCAGAGCCCTGCTTGCTAAGCTGCTAAGCTGCAAAGCTTGCTGAGCGTGTTGGATATTCAAAATATATTCATTGAGTGAACCGATGTTGATCACAGTCCATTTATTTTTTTAAATATTTACGTGTGAAAGAGAGAGAGAGTGTGTGTGTGCATTATAGTAGGGAGGAGAAGGGGGGAAGAGGGGGAGAGAATGTCCAGCAGACTCTGCACTGAGCCCGGAGCCTGACCCCGAGATCACGACCCCCAGATCCTGACCAAGCCAAAACCAAGAGTCGGAGGCTCAACTGACTGAGCCACCAAGGCACCCCATCGTCCATTTGTTTATAATACCTGAATCTTCCCAGGAACTAACACTTTTCTAAGATTTAACAACTACTGTGATTTATTCTGGGTAAATTGGATGATGTTCTGGTGATAGTATTAACTATAGAGCATAAGGTAATGCAAAGGACCTCCATGAAGGAAAGACAACTAACTGGGATACTTAGTAATTGTTTAGATGGTCTTACTTGATACCTAAGCTGCCGTGTTTGCTGCCACCATGCGGTCCCTCTACATTTGTTGTCACCATGACCCAGCCTACACGGAACAGAAATGTCCAACCTCAAGGAGGAAAAAAGATTGGGAAACTGTAATATGGTTTCCCGCCAAGTAGCTTTCAGTGTCTGGAAAGCTAGGTTATCTCCATGGGGCAATTCTAATTACCGCCCTCTGTCGTGATAAGGTCTGGGAAAATGCACATTCAGACCCGGCATGGTACCTTCAAAATGCCCTGATTTTGCAACTGATTAGTATCCCCTTTCATTTTAGGTCTTGAGGTTTGAGAACATTCTGTCCTCTATTCTCCACTTTGGAATCCTCCCACTGGCCAATGGTAAGGGGTTCTGGGGAAACATATGACTCTGACATTAGCTAAACACTGGGGATTGTTTGGGACTTTCCACCCAAAAGGCTGTACTTCTAGCACATGACTGTGTGAATCCAGGGCCATCCCGGAACTTACAGAGTGTGGTTGCAAAGTTGGTTATTCCAGGTCCAAACCTCGTTAGCCACACTACCTGTAGACTCAGCGAGAACAGCTAAACTCTGGTTGAGTTGAAGAGATTGAAACCACACTCTGTAGGCAGTAAGAACCCTCCTTCAGGTCTGCCAGAAATGAAATTCAACTCCCTAGAGGGCATCTGTGGTTCTTATGCACAGACCACCATTTGGATAGACAGTTGTTGTTGTTTTTTTTTTAAGATTTTATTTGTTTATTTGACAGACAGATCACAGGTAGGCAGAGAGGCAGGCAGAGAGAGAGAGGGAAGCAGGCTCCCTGCCAAGCAGAGAGCCTGATGCCAGGCTCGATCCTAGGACCCTGGGATCATGACCTGAGCCGAAGGCAGAGGCTTAACCCACTGAGCCACCCAGGCGCCCCTGGATAGACAGTTTGGATGAAGGACAATTCTAGGCCCTCTCCCTGTATGCAGTCGTTCATAACCCGCAGTATCTTGAGTTTGGCTTGGTTAAAATATATTTTGTATCAGAGACCAGAATGTTCTCAGACACTAACTAAGGGATTTTCGAAATATAAAGTGGACAAGTTGCCAGCATTTTTCTGCCACCCAAGTATACATAACTGCTTGTGCATTTTTACTAAGCACTTCAGTAACTAATTAAGTATTCATCGAGGAAAATGCAAGGAACATAAAATGAAAATACAGAATCAGGAAGAAGAAAAAGATAGATTTAAAAACTGCTTATTTGTCTTTTACCAAAAAGTTTGCCAAAACTTCTGTGTCTGTGCCCAGCTATCTTACCCCTTGCTCTGTTTTTCAGCAAAATTGCAGCAAGGAATTCCCCTGCCCAACCCGCACAAAATCTCACTTGCCAACTCCGATATTGAAGTTTTTGCGGTAAGAATGTGAATATTCTCTTCACTGCCCCCATTTCTTTTCACAGTAGAAGCCTCTTCCGAGTTTGCTTATTCTGTTTTATGCTAATTTACTTTGCGTTTTTCCAGCCCAAGGAATTTTATAGACAAAAGTTTTAGCTCTTAAATCTTGCAGTCAACAATGAAAAGCATTTAAACTTGAGTTTAAAAATCAGACGGAGGCTGATTTCGCTTGGCAGCCAGACTCACACTGTAGTAAAAGAAGGCGCACTGTGGTGATGTGGTATGCTCTGCCTTCCGCAAAACAACCTGCGAGGTTGGGATTAATGGCCGCCTTTTTAAAAAACATTTTATTTTCTTTTTTCAGTGTTCCAAGATGCATTGTTTATGGACCACACCCAGTGTGGCCCATGCATGGACCACACCCAGTGCTCCATGCAATATGTGCCCTCCTTAGTACCCAACACCAGGTTCACCCACCACCCACCCCCCTCCCCTCCAAAACCCTCAGTTTGTTTCTCAGAGTCCACAGTCTCTCATGGTTCATCTCCCTCTCTGATTTCCCCCAACTCGCTTCTCCTCTCCATCTTCCCATGTCCTCCATGTTATTACTTGTGCTCCACAAGTAAGTGAAATCCTATGACAATTGACTCTCTCTGCTTGACTTATTTCACTCAGCATAATCTCCTCCAGCTCTGTCCATGTTGATACAAAAGTTGGGTATTCATCCTTCCTGATGGAGGCGTAATACTCCATTATATATATGGACCATATCTTCTTTATAACGGCCCCTTTTAAAATAAGGAGAGCAGGGCCTGGCTGAGACCTGACTGGTTCCTCTGATTCTCTCAGTGAACTTTTGCCTGAACCAAAGACCCTCCTCGAGGTTCAGGGATCTGCTGTGAGCTGTTTCCTTATTAATCATTATCAACAAACTTCAGAACACATTCTTTCTTCCATTTTGGCACCTTTTGGGCACGTGGGGGAAATAAGATTCTGAAGGAATTCTCCAATCCCATGCACATCCTGCCCTCCTCTTTCCCTCCCCCCCTCCGCTGCTTTTGTAGCTGCTCAAGTTATATAGGGAGACAATAACCCCAAGTGTCCTGTTCTGATGTATGAGGCACTCACAAGGGGACAGCGGCAGGGAGGGTGTGACACAGGAGGACCTGGGAAAGAAACCGTCTCTCCCTCACCCCTTAGCAAACCCCAGAGGTCTGTGGCTGCCGGTGTCCAGGGTGTGACATTGTCTTCATTCTTGCCTCCTTTTCAGGGATTCCTTTTGATCTCCACCGACCTCAAGTATGAAACGTCCTTAAAGCAGCAGCCAAGTTTCCATGGTTGGGAAGGTCTGAACCTCATAAGTGGACAGTGGAGGGGGAAGCCTGCCGCTTGATTGCCTGTTTGGAGCCCACCCCAGGCGGCCAGTGGCCCTTAATCCACAGCTACTGTAAGCCCAGAAGGGGAGGACAGTGCACGCTGGATTGTAAAGCCCTGCGAAGTGCTTAGGCTGACAGTTTTCCTTCTCGAGCCCTCAGGGACAGAGGGAGGCAAACTGAGTTAAAGAGCCAAATCGGGGTGTGTGTGTGTGTGTGTGTGTGTGTGTGTGTGTGTGTGTGTGTGTTTAGGGGTAGGCATTTCAGTGTTTCATGTTCGAATGCACATTGTGTGTTTCTGTGTTTATAAAATGCTGGGGCCTGCAGCTAGCCATGTGCCCTGGAGGAGGCGCATGAGAAAGCCCAAAGGACAGATTTGCCCGAGTTCTTTCTGGAGGAGCTCCTTTAGCTCTCTCAGCAACCCAGGGTTTCCCCCACTTCCCTGCATATTGGATTGTATGTTTTATACTTACTGCTACTGTCCCTTGTATTTAATTAAACTCGTTTTCTATTAATGTGAACTTGTCTTTTTATTTGAGAAAATCTCTGCTTCTGCTCTGGATTTTTTTTTTTAAATAAAATAAGACAAAGATGAGAGAATTTAACATCTTTCACTAACATCTTTAATTTAACATTGTTAACATCGTTAACATCTTTGACAAAAAGTAAGGGTATGCAGACTTCAAGGCTTGATCTAAAAAGGGACTAGCTTGGGATGCCTGGGTGGCTCAGTCGGTTAAGCGGCTGCAGTCAGCTTAGGTTATGATCCCAGGATCCTAGGGATCCTAGGATGGAATCCTCCATAGACCTCCTTACTCAGCAGGGAGCCTGCTTCTCCCTCTGCCTCTGCCTGCCACTCCCCCTGCTTGTGCTCCCTTTCTCTCTCTAGCAAATAAATAAATAAAATCTTTTAAAGGGGGTGGGCAGCTTGGCTCCTCGATGTTTCTGGTGAGAAACAGTGGTCACAGCAAACTCGAGAAGTTATATCACTCTTTAAGTTTTGGGGTTTTCCCTCCCAGATGAAATGGTAGTGCCGAGTACTTAGCCTAGATCATTCGTCGCTGGGGATCTTAAGTTGTTAGAGCATCTAATTATTGGGGTGACACTGGGGCAGAAGAGGAGGAAAGGGGAACCCATATGGATAATGCAAGAAGGACTAGAAACCACCCACTTTGCCTTTGTGGCTCTCACAGTCTCCTGGGAGAGTGGATGCCAAGCCTGGTGCTGGTTACTCCAGGACAGTCACTCACCTAATGCTCACAGACGCTCAGAAGAACTGTGGTCCCATTTTACAGATGAGAAAACAGAGAAGAGAGATGAATCCCACAAGGCTGGTAAAGCAGCCTGTGCTACAGGGCAGAGGGAGAAATTGAGTCCAAGCCTTCCCCATCCCAAAGTCACTGCTATTTACATGCGGTAGGACTAGACGCGGAAATACGTGAAAACCGCTTACTCTGGGAGCAAGAGAGGCGTGTAAAAGAGCACGAACAAGGGTTCCAAGTCGTCCAAGATGGGAAGCCCGGGCAGCCCGGCTGCCCGCCTGGACTGCCGTCTGTCTGCTCATCTCCAGGGCGCGCCTCTGGCCATAGTAACCAGCCCATCGGTGTTCGCTGGAATAGCGGGTAAACTGTCACCTTCATTCTTTGGAACGTTCTTTTCTGACAGGAGAGTGATTTAACGTGCATCCACAAATGCGTCCTGAAACATTACACGTGTCCAGTCATATTTATTTAAACAGGTTTCGCGGCTACACGCATCTTTTTTCCCTCCCTGCTGGGAACGTAAACTCCACGCAGATTTTCATTACAGCAGTTGGACCTGATCCAGACTCAGTGCTGAAAAGCACTTCCAAAACAAAGTGTGACTACAAACTCGCTAAAAACGACTGCATTTTAGTTCAGCTTTGAGTCTGAAGAGGGCTCGTAAATATCCAAAAAAGATAAACACTAGAGGGCAGACTAACTTAACGAGACAAAAGCGATTTTTTGTGGCGGCCATGAGTTTCGAGCCTCGACGCTTGCCGTCGCCCATCCTGCGGCGGAGTCTACTGCGCCTGCGCGTTGGATTCCGGAAGGGGGTGCTTCAGGCCACGGGACAGCGCGGCAGCGTCTCTTCAAAGGGGAGCCGGGAGTTTTCGCCACCGTTGTCGCCGCCATGAGTCGCAGCTATAATGATGAGCTGCAGTTCTTGGAAAAGATCAATAAAAACTGCTGGAGAATCAAGAAGGGCTTCGTGCCTAACATGCAGGTGAGGCGGGGAAGCAGGGAGCCCGTGACGGGGCCTTCCCGGGGGCCCGCGGCGCCTCCCTGCCCAACCGGCCCGGCCTTCCTCCTCGTTCTCTCGACTCTTGGCTTAGCGCGGGGACCGTCCCCGTCCCCACCCTCCAGCCGGCCCCCCCTCCCGGCGGGAAAGGTCCCCAAAGCGGAACGTTCCGGGGGAATCCCAAGTGAACGCGAAATTCCCGCTTGCAAAATGCTTTCGCGTCGAGGTCTCAGAAACGCACCGCAAGACGTTACATTCTCGAGCTTTAGAGACGTGAGGGGTAGTTGTACACGGTGGCCCAGCCAGTCCCGGGTGGAGTCGCTGGGGTGGGACTCTGTTCCTGAGTCATGCTGGCCATCTGGGTGACGTTTACAAGACCTTTGTTTGCTGAAGCAAGTTATTAGCATTCACCGTTCAATAAAGCGTCTTTGCCTCTCGCAGCGGTCTAGAAGATTCCCAGGGCAGGGTCCTTGTTTTGAATACTCCCTTCGCTAAGGATGGGCTGGTGACACAGCTTCCTCTAGCCACCTCGTAAGCTCAGCCAGGACTTGATGCCCCTTTTACTTCTTTTCTCCGACGGAATGATCCCTTTGGAGACTTGGAACCCAACACCACGGAGCGTGGAAGCCTGGGTTCACTCTCTCTCGCAGGCTTCGTTGCCATTTGTGTCTATTATTTTCCATTAAAGGGAAGAAAACAGTCGTTTGCAAGGTTCGGGGGCATATGTTGTTAAATAGCTTTTGAACGCTTTTAAGGTGCCTTGTAAGTGTATTAAAAGGTTTGCGAGTCTGTGTTTTGGTAAGAGTTCCTGATAGCCACTGCACTCTCTTCCTCAATATCAGAACTTACTGAGTGTCCCCCATGAGCAGAGCGGGACTCTGAGAGGAGAAAAAGGCCATGGTCATAAGATTTCCTTTTTGCTGTTTTCTGTTTAACCAGTTTCTGTCTAAGGAATCTGGTTCCCTGAATGAAGGAATAGGAAATAACCATGACATGATGGTCATGATAACACACGATCAGTGTCTGGTAGTGATTCTGGCTTCACTTTTGATACACACACTTGCTGCTGATTTTGCCCAAGAGCCAGTCTCATCTTGCCGTTGGCAGTTACGGTTTCACTGTTTGTACACTTGACTACCACTTCTCCCCTAAGAGCGGAGACTTGAAATCTCAATGTACTACTCTTAAAGTTACTGACCTTTGTACCAAGGTTGAATTCCATTCCCGTACTTGAGAGATGAGTGAACTTCACAATAATTACCATATTTATCCTACTTAATCTCCAGTAAGACCCACATGCTGCACTAAAAATTCCTCTCCCCCAAAACACCCCCCTCCCAACTTTGTCATTTTTGTGTCTCCTTTATATCTCCTGAATGTCTTGCAGCTCCAGTGATGTCTCTTGTCTTTGAAGAGCTGGTTCAAACAGTGAGCACCTGTCAAGCCTCTCCCAGCTCCCTAAGCTGCTGAGCTGCTTCCTCAGTTTTTTCTATAGCACTTAACTATCAGAGTGCTCCTCTCATTGCACCCTTGATTTTCTAGTCTGGGCTGCATCCTGGGCTGGAAATTCCTCGAAAACAGCATCTCAGGGACACCTGGGTGGCTCGGTCAGTTAAGCGTCTGCCTTTGGCTCAGGTCATGATTGCAGGATCTTGGGATCAAGTCCCGCATCGGGCTTCTTGCTCCATGGGGAGCCTCCTTCTCTCTCTGCCTGCCCCCGCCCCAACAGATGGGTGAAATCTTTAAAAAAAAAAAAAAAAAATCTTTTATATTCTTCATATCTTCCCTAGTGCCCAGTACAGTGCCTAAAACATAGTAAATCCTCAGTAAATCTTTGGTGAATTAATAAAATGTGCTCCACAGAGAATAATACTGGAGACATTTTGCTTACACTGGTGTTGTTATTCAAGCAGAGGTCCTCTTTCTTATAAAAGAAAGAAATTTGTCCAGGTGATTGCCCTCCTTAGGTGGGCAGCTCCTTCATAGTCTTTGATCTCATAAAAATGTTCTGGCCTTAGGTATTACATAATTACATTCTTCCTTGCCATTTGTATTTTTTGTCAAGCTCCTTTAGCCTCTTAAAATTGTGTAGATTCTAGAACTAAGCACACAGCTGTGTGTCTACATGTTAAAATTTTTTTACTCTTTACCAAAGTATTGATTTATAAATGAGCGTAGGACAAAATAAAGTGTAATGTGCTGTTGTCTCAGGCACAGAAAAAATACTACAGTCAGATGACTGCATTTTTATATTTAGAATCTTAACTCTTTTGATTCATCTGTTTATCAAGACCACTGATTTTTAGAAGCACAAGAGTAGTAGGACTTTTGGCCTTGGTGAGAGCATAGTTAGAAGACTTTTTTTTTTCCTAGAGGTTTTATTTGAGAGAGAGAGAGCACCAGTGGGGTGAGGGGCTCGATCCCTGGGACTCCAGGATCATGACCTGAGCTAAAGGCAGATGCCCAGCCAGCTGAGCCCCACAGGTGCTCCAAGACTTCTTTATCACACGTGCAAAAAATTCTTGTTGAATTCTTAAGTGTGGCTTTAAGAATAGGGGAATAAACAATTTGTGAACATTGCAGGATACATTTTTAAGACCTACTTAAAGATATGAACATCTCATCTTTGTTAGGAAGTTTTCTGCTTGCTTAAGGTAATGAGAAAGTGTTCTATAAAGGGTAAAGTAAAATAAATGTTCCGTATGGCATTTGTATTCTAACCAGTGCCTGCCTATATGTCATGGACATTTGCTCAGAGTTTTTCCTTTTCATTCTTACCAGGTTGAAGGAGTTTTCTATGTGAATGATGCTCTGGAAAAATTAATGTTTGAGGAATTAAGGAATGCCTGTCGGGGTGGTGGTAAGTACTTCAGAGTTCTACATGTGGCCATATAAACAACATTTTCCCTGTGGCATGACAGTGGTGACTCAGTTATAATCATAAAAATACAAAAGTATTGTCAGGTAATAATCAAAACTTTTAAATGAGACCAAAAACCTTTGTGATCACACTGTTAGCCGCCTGGCTCTGTAGAAACTGTGTGGAGCTGGGTGGACATGGTTGGTTTCACAGCTCACCTTGGACAGTTATAACGAGCTACCATTTATTGTGCACTTACTATGTGCCAGGCACTTTGCAAGGCACTTTATGTAGATTACCTCATGTAGTTCTGAATTTTAAGAGGAAAATGTTATCTCTGTTTTACAAATGTATAAGGCAAAACTCAGTGATATTAAGGGGTTTTTATTTAGTCCAGTTGCATAGCTTCTCGGTGACAGAGGTGGATCTCTTATTCAAGAGTGTCTGATTCCAAAGTCTGCATTTTTAACCAGTATCTTGATTAGCCTCACTGAACTTCAGCTAATCTCATCGTAAAGGGGAGTTGATGACACTTATCTTGCCGAACAGCAGCAACGTTTAGGGATAAGTGTATGAAGCTCTAATGTAATGCTCTAATGGTCATAATGGTATTACAGTGGAACCTGGATTTAACCCTTTTATTTTTGGCTCAGCAATCTAAATCCCACCCCTCGCCCCACCAGGACGTCCTGACTTGCCTCAAATGACACCGCGACCAAGTGACACCAGAGCTAGAGCCCCATATCCCCTGCCTCTCAGTCCAGTGTTGTCCCAGCTCTTCTGCATTGCCACCTTTGTCACTTAGAGTAAAACCAGTGTTGATTTTTTTTTTCTTTGGGTAAATAATACTATTGAAAGAATTTGTTTTTTTTATTGCGTCGGCAATAAAACCTTTATTAGTTGTTTCACATTTCTCAGTACCATGTGTGCAAGGAACCTTTTCATGGTATGCACAGATGCGGACAGGACGTCTGTGATTACTCTGGTTGCCTCCCAACCTTCCTGTACGTGCGCTCCCTTCTCGATGAGGCACCCTTCCCACTTCAGCCCAAACGTCCTCTCCTGCTTTGTTGTTCTGGTAGTCCGGGCCACTACCCCTTCGTTTCATGCAAGCTAGAAACATATGAATATATGTAATGTTAAAAATCAACTGCGTCCCCTTTCCTAATACTGAATTTTTGTCTTCAGGTGTCGGTGGCTTCCTGCCAGCCATGAAGCAAATTGGCAATGTGGCAGCCCTGCCTGGGATTGTTCATGTGAGTCCGCGTTCAGAGTTTGAATCATTTATATTTTCTCTTAGACTCAGAGTTCTCTGAGTGGATGAATGGCCAGGCCTAACCAATAGTGGTGTCACTCACACAGTGACCTTCAAACTTCCAGAAATAACCATGGAGTGTAAAGCTGTAATTGAGTCTGGATAACATCTCAGTTTCTGGTTGCTTTTTGCTAGAACCTGTAAGCATCTGAAAAATCTTTGAAGTAGTTTTGTTTTCTTGTTTCTTCATCACAGTACAGCGTTATTACTGGACCAGGGTACCACCATGGAAAGTTTCACTCTGGCCCCATTCAAGAGGATGGTTGGAGAAAGAATAGAAGTGTAAGGGTTAGACCTGTGGGGAGGAAGAAAGGACAGCACAGGTGTGGTAGGCATGATTGGGAAAGGAGCGTGGTGGTGGGAACAGGTAGGCCTGGGTGGGGCAAGGTGCAAGGGGGATCCCTCCACAGTCTTGTGTTCAGGTTCTACCATCACAAGAAGATGTAAAATCCATACAACAGGCATTTTTTTGAGCCCTTTATACCATTTATTGTGCTGGCACTTGGAAGGAAAATGAAAAGAAAGGGCTTTTGCGTGTAAGGAACTCTTAGGTGTCTAGGTGTCTGCATTGACCTGCAGTCTTCCTGGGTCAGGGCCCTTTCCTAGGCGTCAGATGTAGCAAGTGTACAGTATTCATGCCAGCAAAAGGATTACATTTGCCAATGATTGCTTCAACACTAAGGGCCTGTATAAATCAGATATTTCCCTTAACTTTGCCTGATGTGACCACAATTTATCCATGTCTAAAGATTGTCTTTAAAATGTAATTCTAGGGGCACCTGGGTGGCTCAGTGGGTTAAGGCCTCTGCCTTCAGCTCAGGTCATGATCCCAGGGTCCTGGGATAGAGCCCCGCATTGGGCTCTCTGCTCAGCAGGGAGCCTGCTTCCCTCTCTCTCTCTGCCTACTTGTGATCTCTGTCTGTCAAATAAATAAATAAAATCTTAAAAAATAAAAAATAAATAAAATATAATTCTACTTTGGGTGTCTGGGTGGCCCAGTTAGTTGAGTTTCCAACTCTTGATTTCGGCTCAGGTCACGATTTCAGGGTCATGGGATCGAGCCCTGCTTTGGGCTCCACACTCAGCGGGGAGTTTTAAGATTCTCTCCCTCACCCCCTCACCCTGCTCTCACTCACCCTCTCTGAAATAATAAATAAATATTTTTTTAATAACAATAAATATTTGTAATGTAATACTACATTGAAGTTAGTATGTGGCCCTCCTACAGTGTGTCATACTGAGGCTTTTCTGTTCCAGTTTCCTTAGTTAATGGTCAGACTTTATTAAAAAGGTTTTTTGGGGCGCCTGGGTGGCTCAGTGGGTTAAAGCCTCTGCCTTCAGCTCAGGTCATGATCCCTGGGTCCTGGGATCGAGCCCCACATCGGGCTCCCTGCTCGGCGGGTAGCCTGCTTCTCCCTCCCCCTCTGCCTGCTTCTCTGCCTACTTGCGATCTCTGTCAAATAAATTTTAAAAAATTAAAAAAACTTAAAAAAAAAGTTTTTTTCCCACTATTTTTAGCCTTATGATTAGAAGTTTTTACATTTAATTTCCACCAATAGAGAAGGTTTCACAAAAACAGAATCTTGATTTGGGGAAGGCTTCAGCCCAGAGCCCACGTGAGAATTAATAGTCTTGTCTGGTGGAGAAAGCTGGATCTCATTTTCTGATTTTCTTTCAGCGATCTATTGGACTTCCTGATGTCCATTCAGGTTATGGGTTTGCTATTGGGAATATGGCAGCCTTTGATATGAATGACCCTGAAGCGGTGGTGTCCCCAGGTAAGGTCACTGTGCACGTCTGCCGTCAGGGGTGAAGCATTGTACTTCTGAAATAGAGTGTGGACATCTCTCAGTCTCATGTTCTATCCTTTCTCGTCCCCTCATTTACTGAGAGGATGAATTGTGGACACTCAGAGGCTATTAAAATATCAATTAAAGCATACATTTATGGATAATTATTTGGGCTTCTACTATATGCCAGGCACTTTTTAGACATTGGCTACAAAACAAACAACACTTTGCCAGCAAATTATGTGTCTTCTTTGTGTCCCAGTTAATTCTCCGGCAAATGTTATGTTAGTAATGTTAACTCCATGTGGCATTACTGTGAGGAGTAAATGACCTCAGCTGTGAAAAGTACCTAGCACAATACAAGGCCCTTAGGAAATACTGGGTAAGTGATTACTCTCATTATCATCGTTACGATTAACATCTAGTTGTATACATCTTTTTTAACCTTGTCTAGATGATACTTATTGTTCATTACCACCTTACAAAGTACCCATAGTATGGACATTACTTTAAATGTTTTGATGTCATCAGACTTTACCTACTTTGTGGGCTGCTTTTAAAAAATGATCTTCAAAAGAAGAGCTGTCTTTCAAACCCATGTTAATGGTGAGAAACCACAGGTAACCTTGCCCAGCTGCCCGGTGTTGCTGATCTGTGACTAACTTCTCTATTTCGCAGGTGGCGTCGGCTTTGACATCAACTGTGGTGTGCGCTTGCTAAGAACCAATTTAGACGAAAGTGATGTCCAGCCTGTGAAGGAGCAGCTTGCCCAGGCTATGTTCGACCACATTCCTGTCGGCGTAGGATCAAAAGGGGTCATCCCCATGAGTGCCAAGTAAGAGGACAAGATTCCAGTAAACGGATTGGGAAGGAAAGTAGCCACGTGACCCTCATATTCATAACCAGTGCAGGATGCTTAGGGAATGGGGACTGTTTAGTCACCTTTCAGGAAGTGGTAATGAATTGTTCTTTTACACGTGAGGTCCGCCCCCCCATTGAGTAGAGAGATTGGTCACGTGATGTTCCTTAGAACAGCTTTGACACACATCCGAGTGTACAATGGAAAAAGGCCCACTAACAGTTATCGAGCACTTCTGCATGGAATGCCCTGTGCTATCGTATACGTCTGTCACGTCATGTCATCTCGATAATAACCCTAATGTTATTCCCAACTGACAAGAAAGGAAAGTGAGGTTTAAAGAGGTAGTAGTAAGCTAGTAAGTAAAGTCAGGGTTCAAACCAAAGATCCTTTGGCTTCAGAGGCTGTGTTCTGAACGGCCTTTTGTCAGTGAGCCTGTAGTTAGCCACGACCTTCCTTTTTGAATGATGGCACTGAATGTTGTATATTAGCCAGGATGTTAAATATTTCAGTGGTAGAGAATGAAAGTGAAGGCCACAGCATAACTGCCTTTTCAATGGCCATTGACGGTACCATCATGGCTCATGCAAAGCTGCGCGTCTTAAACTCTGCAGAACATGTGCTTAACAAGAATGTTTCTTTCGCATCTTATGTTTTATCTTTAAAATTCATGTGACTTTTGCATCCTAATTATATATGTGTACATACGTTCATACCATTATTATGTTTCTAGCTATTACCAATTCTGCATCTCCTCTCCAGTAAAAAAAAAAAAAAAAAAATTGGAGTAAACATACATTTGGAAGATCTGTGATTTCATGTGGTCCCTGACATGCAGCCCTGGTTTGAAAAGCGTACCTAGAACATATAAATTCTAAGGTCTTCGTAAATATTTTAGATAGGAATTTTTGTCCTGTATCATAAATAATATTTGAAATGCTATAGTAGGGAGATGACATTGACCATTTAACCTTCCAGATAGTGTGTTGGGAGGGCTGGACCTTAGATGAAGATCAAGGCTGCTTCCTTCTAGGGATGTAATGTATGTGCCCCTTCAGAATGCATGTGCACTGAAGCCATGTAGTATTTCTGCAGAGGTACCTTCAAGTTCTTCCTGTGCCACCTGAAGGCATTTACATAGGTTTATTATTTGGCTGTAATTTTTCATAAATTATTAATGAAGGGGTAGCTGTGGCAAAGTTAGTGGTAGTTGGTGGTATGTGAGATGACAGTTATGTGATGACAGAAATTATCTGTGCTTTTCAGAGGCAAATCTAATGTAAAAAAGATTTAAAGAGGAGAAGGAACTGAATGAATGTCTAAAGAACGATAATCGTTTCTAAAACGATCCTACTATATTATATCACAATTATTTACATAGCTGCTTTCCTCCAAAAAAACTGGAGTTGCTGAGAGCGTAAACATGGCATCTAACACAGCGCCTGGTATATAGGCGAGAGTAGATGGACTGTTTCCTTTTGCCCTTTTGAGATGTGGTCATCTCAGCTTTTGTTCTGTCTTGGCTGTGAAATGACCAGACCTTATTACTCCCTCAGAGACTTGGAGGAGGCCTTGGAGATGGGAGTGGACTGGTCCCTGAGGGAAGGCTATGCCTGGGCTGAGGACAAGGAGCACTGTGAGGAGTATGGAAGGATGTTGCAGGCCGACCCCAACAAGGTCTCCGCAAGGGCTAAGAAGAGAGGCCTCCCTCAGGTAACACGTGGGAGGGGCAATGTGCTGGGTGGGGGAGGGGTTTCCTACGCTTCTGTTGAGGCAAAAATGTTGTCTTCTGTGTAGTAAATATATCCCCAGGTTTTTCACAGTATATCAAAAAGAACACAAATTTATTTATACCACATTCTTACTCTTTTGAAAAAGTGTTAGGAACTTGCAGGTGTTCATAAAACAAGATGTGCTGAATTAGAAATAGGAGAAAAATCGGCTATCCGTATAAGGCTTAAAAATGTATGCCCAGGGGCGCCTGGGTGGCTCAGTGGGTTAAAGCCTCTGCCTCCTGCTCAGGTCATGACCCCAGCGTCCTGGGATGGAGCCCCACATCAGGCTCTCTGCTCAGCAGGGAGCCTGCTTCCCTCTCTCTCTGCCTGCCTCTCTGCCTACTTGTGATCTCTCTCTCTGTCAAATAAATAAATAAAATCTTTAAAAAAAAAAATGTATGCCCAAATTACATATGTACATATTTGGACAGTTCACAGATGTGGCTATTTTCTGGAGTCTAAGATGAGAAGACATACCTTATCCATGAGATAAGAATATATCACATGTTTGAAATCTATAGCTAGCGGCGATGGCATTGCCATTGATTCACTCTGACTGTGGGCAAGTCTCTTTTGCCTGAGTCTGGTTTTGTTTTGTTTTCTTTTTTAAGATTGTGTCAAAGAGTGAGAATACAAGCAGGGGAGAAGCAGAGGGAGAGGCAGGCTCCCCGCTGAGCAGCCCCCCCCCCCCCGCCCATGTAGAGCTCAATCCCAGGACCCTGGGATCATGATCTGAGCCAAAGGCAGACACTTAACTTGACTGAGCCACCCAGGCGTCCCTCCGAGTCTGGTTTTCTTATCTGAAAATCACAGTAGTTAAAACTAGGCAGCCTCTAAAGATTCTTCCAGCACTTCTGTGCTGCGGTCCCTGAATCCTCTATCAACTCCAGTTACAGGATGTACTTTCAGTGGTGGATAATGGTAGGTGTCAGCAAACTCAGAGATGTTTCAAAACTCATTTGAACTTGGACCTTGTTTAAAAATTCACACTCAGGAGTTTATCCCAAAATTTGACCCTTGTGTCCACACCTTTAAAGTATCCTCTGAGCCATTTAATGGTCTGAATTTGGGTTTATGAAGCTTTCAATACATATTTGTATATACCTCAAGCAGGTAATGATACAGTGAGTTTCAGGAGCTACTCTACCATATTTTTTATTGTGTATTGCTTTAAATGCATGAAGCATTTCTGAGGCTCAGAAATTTCTTTATTGTATAAAACTGATTATTTTTTGTTATTGGTTGATTTTATCAATTTGCTTTTTAAATGGATTTTTAAAAAGCAAATAGTAATCTGACACCTCAGTCCATTGAGTGTCCAACTCTTGGTTTCCGCTCAGGTCATGATCTCATGGGTTGTGAGATCTAGCCCCGTGTCAGGCTCCCCACTCAAGGAGGAGTCTACTCGTAGGCTCTCTGTCTCTGCCCCTCCCCACCCAATTTGTGCAGGCACATTGGCTCACTCTCTCTGTCTCTTTCAAATCAATAAATAAATGTTTAAAAGTGGAATAGAAGTCATTTTATCAGACATTCTTACTTTTGCAGTTGGGGACCCTGGGAGCAGGCAACCACTATGCAGAAATCCAGGTTGTGGATGAGATTTTCAATGAGTACGCAGCTAAGAAAATGGGCATCGACCATAAGGGACAGGTGTGTGTGATGATCCACAGTGGAAGCAGAGGCTTGGGCCACCAAGTAGCCACAGGTATATTCTCAATCTCATTTTTGACTCAGTGCTCAAACACGCATTTGTGGGGAACCAAATAGAGATTTCAGAGAGGAAGCTCTAGAACTATATACTGTGTAGGTTTTTACTACTTCACTGGTGTTGTCATAGGAGATTAAATACTTCACATACACTGTTTCATTTATACACTTATGATGTATGCAAGTGTGTCTCACGTACCTGTACTGCAAGATTGAGTGTTGTGGTGGATTCAGTGATGAAATTGGCAAGGAACTGCCCTCACGGTGTCTCAAAAAAGAGATAATCACGTTAATTAAAATGAAAAGGTAATACCTGATAAAATATTATAAGACAGGCCATGTATAGCATTTAGAAAAAATACATTGGAAGTGGCATGTTGAACACATACTGTTTGCAGTTTGGACAGTCATGCACAAAGGACATTCATGACCAAAAGACAGTATGGACAAAAGCAGAAGTCAGGCGAATAGCAGCAGGGTCACTTTGGATGACTGATAGGACGTGTGGAAGCATTTATGCGTTTATGAGAAGGTATTTATACACGTGGAAATTACTATAAACCTTAAGTTGTGTATTATATGGTTCATCCTTGTGTATGCATTTCATCCTGTGGGAATTTAATAATTTGGACCAGTGTGACCCATTAAAATATTTAATCTAGCAGATGTATGGAGCACTGACTGGTAATTCCGAATTCTCTCCTGAGTACTTCTCTACACTTGGCCACGGATTTGATTTTCCTGCTCTTCTAGCAACTTGTCTCCAATTCTTTTCTGTTAAATCACTAAAATATTATTTTTTTTAAACCATGACAGTAATAAAATATATTTTACTACTTGTGTTCATTCATTCTCATGCCAGGAAAGGAGAAACTAAGACCATGTTGTTGCTGTGTGTGTACACCTCTCATTCCCTTTCCAGGTTCCTGCAGGGAAGGTGTTAGCTTTGTAGCCCACATTCTTTGTGTCACATAGCACGGACAGAAGATTCTCAGTAACTATGTCTTGACCAAGCAAATAGAGGAATCTAGAAACACTTCAAGGAGAAGTTGTATTTTATTTGCTTTTTAAAAAATGGGTTTGAATGTAGCCTAATTTTCTGCAGTAAATCTCAATTATAAAGGGAAAAGCAGCGTCTTTAGACTTGATTCTGTCTTGTCCAGATGCACTGGTAGCTATGGAAAAAGCCATGAAGAGAGACAAGATTATAGTCAACGACCGGCAGTTGGCTTGTGCGCGGATCGCTTCCCCAGAGGGTCAGGACTACCTGAAGGGCATGGCAGCTGCTGGGAACTACGCCTGGGTCAACCGCTCCTCCATGACGTTCCTAACCCGTCAGGTACGGTTGAAGTTGCTCTTTGGTTACTTGTGATGAGGTTTAAAACAGAGCCCACAGAATCCAGTTTTCAAAATCTACGTGATAAATATTGGCAATATTGGCAAACTCTCTAGGCTTTTGAAGTCTCCTTAAACCAAATTAGCAGAGTATCAGGTGTGGGGAACGGGAGAAGAAGAGAAGCCAAAATTGTTTTTAGAATTTGCCTTGAGCATCAGATAGGATGGACGTGCGTTCACGGAGACGAGACGGCTGAGGAAGAAGCTGTTCTGAAGGGTGGAATGAAGAGTAGCCCAGCAGCTTTCCAGTCAGAGTTGGCGTTTCCGGAGTGGCATTTGCAATGTCGTGTAAAAGATGGTTTTTGTATTTTATGTGAAAATAAATAATACTGCTGTGCTTGAGCTCGTAAATTCCTCACTCCCTATTGGAACAGACCAGCTGAAGTCCATTAGAGGAGTTTGGAAGAGCTGGTTCTGGCTGCTTTTAACATGGGCTTGTCCTTTTAGGCTTTTGCCAAGGTCTTCAACACAACCCCTGACGACTTGGACCTGCATGTGATCTATGACGTTTCTCACAACATTGCCAAAGTAGAGCAGCACGTGGTGGACGGAAAGGAACGGACGCTGTTGGTTCACAGGAAGGGATCCACCCGAGCTTTCCCTCCTCACCATCCCCTCATCGCTGTCGACTACCAAGTATGTACTAAGCCATTTGCGGTGTTAAGCTGTGGGTGCGTGATTTAGGTCTTTCTGAACATGAGCGAGTTTAAACAGAAAGGCAGCAGTTGGGAAAGGTCTTTCCTTCCTGGGAACAGTGATTTCCGGTCTTTTGTGAAGCAGTGACTCCCACCTCATCTTTGCCTGCCTTGGGAGGTCTAAAACATCCCCAGTGGGGCATCTTTTACTCCGTAAAGGTGATCTTTTCAAGGCCTCTGAATGATTGGAAGGCAAGATTAAGATTAAACTCAGTCTGTTCCTCTCTCCTCCTCTCTTGCTGTCTGGCTGTGGTAGAGGTAGAAGGGCCCTTAGCCTGCTCCCATTTTCCCTGTAATAAGGAAACCGGAATCTGGAGAGGTCAGGCACCTTGTCCTGGAATGTTCTTCCTAATGACGTTTCCCTAAACATTTGAATTTGGCTTTGCTCTTGTGTTGTCTGTCTCTGCTGCTTTTCAAGTCCTCACGTTTTTCATTCCTTTCCACTTCCCTCTCAATTATCCAGGAATTAAAGTAATGTCATAGTAACAGTTGGGAAAGCAATGTATTTAGAGGCCCAGGTTCCTCCCACAGTCCTGCAGTGCAAGAGGAAGTGTAAATCTCAGGCATAAAAAGCTCATCTAAAGTTTTTCTAAATGGTGGTATGTTTGATTTGTGTGTGCTTCCTCAGCTCACTGGACAACCAGTGCTCATTGGCGGCACCATGGGCACCTGTAGTTACGTTCTTACTGGCACTGAACAGGGCATGACTGAGACCTTTGGAACAACTTGTCATGGAGCGGTAAGGAAAACAGAAACTGACTTAGAAATGCTCTCTTCAGTTTAATCGTCATTTTACGTTTCGACATTGGGCATTAACAAAATTGAAGTTTGGATCCGTCTTGTCTTCTACCTGAATTTATTCTCATGATATATACTGTCTAGTGAACCAGCTAAGGTCACCTAGTATCTCTACCTTAGTGGTCATTGTAGGGCGAGGGACTGTTGCCCATCTCTGCAAGCCCACAAAATCCAGACTGGGAAATTGCCACACTGGCCCCACCAATACAACTTTGACTGATGCACGGTCACATCACAGCTTATGTCAGTGATTCACTGGACCTAGTCATTTGCATAATTTGTCCCTTTCTAGGTAGGTCCACTCAAGATTTGGGGGATTCGCACATCAGAGCCCATACATAGATGCACACCTATCTCACCATATTGCCTCTTCTAAGCCGGGGGTTGGCAAACTTTGTAAAGCACCAAACAGTAGATATTTGGGGTCCATATGGTCTCTATAGTAGCTATTCCATTGTGCCACTGAAGTGAAAAAGCAGCCATAGACAATACATAAACCAATGGGAATTACTGTGTTCCAATAAAACTTTATTTGCAGAAAACAGGTGGTGGGCCAGATTTGGACCACAAACCAGTTTGCCCACCCCTGTTCTGAGCCATGAGAGTGCTTAGCTAGTGATGGAGTGGCAGATTGAAACTCAAGAGTACCTTCTCATAAGACAGACCCTAACAAACATATCTGAGCCTTCCTTTTTCTCATTTCCAGCTGCCTCCAAACTCCTCTTTGTAGCCCAGTGATCAAAACCAGCACATCTCATCAGCAACACCCGGAGGCTTTTTTTTTTTTTTTTTTTTTTTTTTTTTTTTAACGTCACAGTTAGGGTAGGGAGTTTTGGTACCAGCATCTAGCAGAGGCTAGGGATGCTGCTGAACAATCTGCGTGACATAGAATTATCTGGCCCAAAATGTCAATAGTGCCAAAGTTGACAAACTGTTTCAAATCACAAGGTACAAAGTTTTTATGATGACAGACCTACTGTTTATAATTAAAATCAATTTATTTATATTGAATTGATAATTGTAATTAGAAATACAGAACTAAATCTTTCAATACTGAATGTTTTGTATAGATGGAAAGTTGTTTTCTAGAAGGATATGAGATTTGTAATGAAAAAACTAAGGTTGATTAAAAAGAAAAAAGATTATTTTCTAACTCTAAAGTCAAGGAAAAGGCATATAATTCCAAAGGATTAAATAATTGCTGGAGTTGAAAATAAATTGTAGCTCAGAATTTATAAAGTAAAGTTCATTTCTTTTCTAATCTAGGGCCGTGCATTGTCCCGGGCAAAGTCTCGTCGTAATTTAGATTTCCAGGATGTCTTGGACAAACTGGCAGATATGGGAATCGCAATCCGTGTTGCATCACCCAAACTGGTTATGGAAGAGGTGAGTGAAATTTTGATAAATATTCAGCATAAAACTGTCAGTGATTTATGCTACTGCACAGCATAATTTTTGGTATTGCTTATCAGATACTATGTTTGTTTGTTTTTAAATAACCTCAATTATAGTTTATCGTTGTCTTTTGTTTGGAGATTAATTACAAGGCAAGTCACAAGAATGATTCTTAACTTTTTTTTTTTTTTTTTTAAAGATTTTATTTATTTGAGAGGGAGAGAAACAGGTAGTGAGCAGGGAGGAGAGAGAGAAGCAGGCTTCCCGCTGAGCAGGGAGTCTGAAGCCAGACCGGATCCCAGGATCCTGGAATCTGCTAGGATCATGACCTGAGCCGAAGCAGACGCTTAACCAACTGAGAAACCCAGGCACCCTGATTCTTAACCTTTCTATGTATTAAACTTTAAAATTGTTTGAGCTGATTCATTTTAACCTTTCTTTTGCACAGCTATTATATATTAGAATTTGAAAGCAGATTTTAAAAGACAACGGTTTTATTTGATTCACAAGGGAGCCAAGATTTTGTTTAAATTATATGTATGTACATACTCAATTTTAGAAGCAGCATAACTTTTTTTAAAAGTTTAAGAATAAAAAATCATGTAGAAACTCAGTATCCTAACACAACTGTTAACCTCCCTTTTTAGGACACTTACTGTCTTCCTTTTTTTCCCCTGAATGCTTTTTTTTTTTTTTTTTTTAACTAGTTATAATCATAGATTACATTTTGTGGTCCTTTTTCTAATTTCTTTTTCTCCCCTTTTTTTGCTATTTTCTTTTTTTAATTTAATAGGTTACTGTTATACTGTTTGTAAGCATCACTTTTTAATGATTGTCAAATATTCTACCAGCTAAGGACCATAAGTTTCTGCCCATGTTCGACATTTAAGTGGCTTCCAAATTTTTGCTACTATAAATTAAGTTGTAATGCGTGAAGCTTTTTTCCAGCTGTTTTTGGTTTGGTTTGGTTTTGGGTTTTTGTTTTTAAGATTTTAGTTATTAGAGAGGGAAGCACAAGCAGGTTGGGCAGCTGGCGGAGGGAAAGGGAGAGGGAGAAGCAGTCTCCCTCCTGATCAGGGAACCTGATGCAGGGCTGGAGCCTGATATGGTTCTCAATCCCAAGACCCTGCAATCATGACCTGAGCTGAAGGCAGACACTTAAACAACTGGCCCACCCAGGGGCCCAGCCAGCTGTTTTTAATAATGAGAGTGAAATCCCGAGAATAGACTTACTGAGTCACAGAGCATGACAAAGCCTTATTTCTTAATAACAAGTAATTTTTTTCTCTGATTTTAAGAGTAAGGAGCACCTGAATGGCTCAGTCGATTAAGCATCTGCCTTTGGCTCAGGTCATGATCCCAGGGTCCTGGGATCAAGTTCCATGTTGGGCTCCCTGCTCAGAGAGGAGCCTGCTTCTCCCTCTGCCTCTGCCTGCTGCTCCCCATGTTTGTGCGCACATGCACTCTGTCTCTCTCTCTTTCTCTCTCATAAATAAATAAAATCTTCCCTCCCCCCACAAAAAAAGAATAACACCTATTTATGGGGCGCCTGGGTGGCTTAGCTGGTTAAGCATCCAACTGTTCGTTTCAGCTCAGGTCATGCTCTCAGGGTTGTGAGATCGAGCTGGGTTCCGTGCTGGGCATGGAGCCTGCTTAAGAGTCTGTCTTTCTCTCTCTCCCTCTCCCTCTGCCCCACTCTTCCCTCCCTAAAAAAAAAACAAAAAAACACCTGTTTCGTTAAGAGATTTTGGAAAATGCAAAGAAGAAAACAAAGCATCTAAAATTCCACCAACCAGAGATCACTTCTATTGACGTTCGGTATTTTCCTTTTGTGCGTGTTTTACATATGATTTGTTAATTCGCTCAGGAAATGCTACGCATCTATAGTCAGGTGCTATTCTGGGTATTAGGGGTACTGCAGAGAACAAAACCAAATCCCTTTCTTGTGAAACTTAGCACATAATAAAAAATGTAGTACGTTAGATGACAGGAAGTGCTATAATGTACGAATGGGACAGGGATAGGGAAAGATAGGAAGTGGATGCAGTTTTAAATAGGGTGTAGTGACACTTGAAGACCTAAAGGGAATGAGGGAGTGGGCAAGCCTTCCAGGCAGAGAGAACAGCCACGTGCAGAAACCCTAAGGTGAGATTATGCTTAGAAGTTGGAGAAATATCAGGGAGGCCCCTGACAAGAGCAGGCATGGGGGAGCTGAGGCCAGAGGTTAGGAGCACCAGATCGTGTGAGTCCTTGCCTTTCCTTTACAGAAGGACTTTTGCTCTTCCTGCTCTGAGTGAGGTGATGGGAAGACATTGGAGAATTTTGAGCAGAAGAGTAACATGATCTGGCATGCTGATGAGAAGAATCTGGAAGAGAAATTGATGATGCAGAAAAGTGGGGGGGGGGTCACTGGAGCAGTGTCCTTGGATAGGTGAGAGGAGATGGGATCGAGTGTCCCAAGTGGATGGGGTTGGTCCTTGCTAGGAGCTCAGAAAATGAATCCTTAATAAAAGAGAAGGTAGGATGCAGGTAATCAGGGAAGTGGTGGTGAGATTATATGGAGATTCTGTTCTGATGGTTTCTCTTTTTTTTAGTGTAATAGAAAGTAGTATCAGCAACTAAGAGTGAGAATGCAGGGGAAGGTAGGAGATAACCATGTATGAGAACAAGTAATCAGCCTGGTGAGATTCTAGGTGGGTGCCCGCATAGCAGCCGGGGCCTCCTTGTGCTCAATTCAGTGATTGGGTGTTTTTCAACTATATCAGCTGTACAGGTGCAGGCTTGAAATAGATGTTGAGTTAACTTTGACTAGGTTTGCAAGTATAGTGCAGTGGAAGAGAAGCAAGGCTGTTGAGGGCTTGCAGGGAGATCAAACGTCCCACAGGGCTAACGGATTGATGGAGACGGCGCACAGGAGGGAGTGAGCTGGAAACCTAGCTGTGGTCACCAGCCCGGCGTGCTTGAGACGGGGATTGTGGAGGAGTTGTAATCACTGGTAATGACAGGTTCCGGGTTATGGCCCTGGCTGGGAGGGAATGATTGACAGTCAAGGAGCTAGAAGCCAAGATACTGAGAGGGACCTCTTGCTAAATATTGAAACCATTTGAAATTCTAGCAGGATAGAGTGGCAGTGAGCCAGGAGCAAGAAGTCTTGCAGTAACGCTAGGGAGTGCTTCCAAGTCTAGCAGGTTAACTGCAGCAAGAAGAGGGAGTGAGACACGATGACCGACGAGGCCTTAGGGAGAAGGGAGTGGGAATGATCTAGAAAGTACCAAGATGAGCACAGACACCTGGCACACCATTGGGCCTAATGACAGGACCACATTTAGGAGGGGAAAATCGCTGCTACTTCAAGTTAGAAGTGGAAGTAACATCCCTAGAAGAGATCTCTGTTTCCACAAGAACAAGAGGGTGAAGGGAATGTTCCGAGCAGAGGGCAGCAGGGAGAGGATTCTGCACGTGACTCACTGGAAGGAGGCCAGAGGCTGCGGTGTGAAAATTAGAAATTGGAAGGGAATGGGAGATGAGCTAGCAAAGGGTGTGCACGGAGCCCTATGGAAATTCGCTGAGAGGAGCTGCTGTGGTGCGGGGAATAGGGAGAGAGGATGTGTGATGAGACTAGTTCTGACTGGGAAGGGAGGGGGGAGGTCTTGCTGGAAACTCAGAAGAGTGTGCGTGTCCGTATGTAGACAGACAAACATACAGACGATGTTGGTAATACAGATGCATTGAATAACTTTCCCTTATTGTGAAGGTAGTAGCTGTTCATTCCAGAAATTTTGACAACTGTAGAAATAAAATCAGAGTGGCCAATAACTACCAACCAAAGATAATGATTTGATGCATTTCCTTTCTGTTGGGTATTAGTGTTGTGTGTGTTTTATTCAGTTACATTAACTGTTTTTGCTAGTTACACAGGTAATATATATGCAGTGGGAAACTATGAGACATACAGAAAAAATATAAAACCAGGTAAAAGTGTTTATGTTACTATTCTCTTACCAACATCGAGTTCAGTTATCATCTTTGTATGATACACACACCATACACACACCAAAAAGAAAACTCAGTATTATTTTAACGTGCATTTCTTTAATCCCACGTGAAGTTTAATGGTTTCAAGAATTACACTTTAAGTAGATTTTTACATTGTTTAACTCCTCCCCTTTAGGCCCCCGAGTCGTATAAGAACGTGACGGACGTGGTGAACACCTGCCACGATGCTGGAATCAGCAAGAAGGCCATTAAGCTGAGACCGATTGCCGTCATCAAAGGATAGAACGCTGACCGCAGCCGCCAGCGCCACTGCCCCTCATGGGATGGAGGTGGATGGAAACGCTCCTCAGACATCAGACTCCAGACCCGCAGGCTCCCAAGTGCACATCTACGACCGCCCGTTCCCAAGGCATTGGCAGGCGGCTGCTGCTCTCGGAAGCCAGGCCTGTAACATTACCTTCCAGGAGGAGTCCCACTGTCCTCCCTGATTGTCCCCCAGGTTTTCGTGTTGGGGGTGGGTATAGATCAAGATGCTGCCTCACTCAGTCATAGAAGTGTGTAGCCAGCAGAACGAAGTTCGTGCCAGCAAGCCCTGTTTATATTCTGAGTCATGGAGAGCGTTCTAGTAAATAAGGTTTTCAAATGTTTCCTTTCCCTCCTCCTTTTGTCAGTTTGTCCCTTCACCCACCCATCCATCCCCTTCCCCTGAACCCAGCAAAACCCCGACCACCACTCTCACTTGGGAAACACCCACGGCGTCCTTTCCAGATGGGAGATGAATGGATAGTGGGACACGTTGAGGAGGGAACATGTACGGAGGTGTAGGAATAGGGGCTCAGAGTAATTTTCCATAGACTGACTTCTTTGCTCATCCTAGATATGAGGCAGAGTCCTGCCGTACCTGCACAAGGCGCCTGTGGGGAGCTGTCGTTAAGTAGGCCTGGTCTGGTAAACTGTTCCGGGGTGAGGTCTTGCACAGCAGTGGCGGCAAACCTGCACAGAATGCTGAGTATCTTTATATTCGTGGTTGAATTATTATAAAAGCCTTACATGACTGAGGTGTTAGCAGTGGTTCTGTTGGACAGGTTGACTGGTGCCATCTAATCAGATTTCGTGTTCTGTACTGTGACACCTAAAGATGTGGAAGGGACAGGTTACTAAGGCCTTTGTTGAGTTTGAACAGCCAGTAAAATAGAAAAATCTAATAAAGTTGCAATATGTTGTTTTATCTTGTGCTTCATCGTTTATTCCTTGGGACAGTTAGTATTTGTGCTTGATTCACTTTGCTAAGTGCTGTTGCCTGATTTTCTCCCAGGTTGCTTTCAGTGACTCACTCTAAAATATTCTTTCCTAAAACTTACCCTTCAGCTTACAGTAAAAACTCTCCTTGGAGTATCTTCTAGATGCTGCCGTTTGGAAGGCTGTAGAAGACCGGCTTCCTCTGAGAAAGATCTGATAGGAATTAGCCTAGCATGTCTTCACTCTGAGCTCCCCTTCACCTAAATATGTTGGTGGTAGAGTTTGAACATACCCAGCAAACCAGTTAGGATTCTTAATGTAATAATTATAGCCTCCATGTGGCCCTCCTTCAGACTGGGCCAGCCACTGTTGTGCAGTCATGACTCAAGGATGCATGTTCCCAGCGAACGCTCGAGGGCACCTCAAGGTGAGGAGCAGGCTTCCCGTGGCCGCTGCGTTCTCTAGGGCTGAGCAGTGGAGCGTAGACTCCCCCTGACCGGGCTTGCTTAATGACGTGTCATTTGAAACTAATTCAAAGCAAGGTCCCCTCCCAAAACTTACTGATGTCAGTGCAAGAAATGCTGTGCGTCATCTTAAATACAGATGTTGCGTTTTATTAGAAGCTTTGAAAGTTACCCCGGGGAGGCATGAGGAGGTGCAGGGGAGCAGGGGATACAGAGAATGGTTCATGTGGGAGCGTTTCTGCTCTATGAACTTGTCTTGAATGTGGCATTTGCAGTGAGCTCGGCCCTTTGAATGACCATAGGAAGTAATAGTTAACATTTTGAGTTCAAAAAGAAAGGTAAAAACATTGTTTTCCTTTTTCTGGAGATGTTATTTTCCCATTTGAGACACTCAACAATACTTAACAATATTAACAATACTTAACAGTACTTAATAAATGCTCAAAAGAAGCAGACATCACCAGCTTATTGCCCCGAGTAACAGTGCCCTAGGCCCATGCACACACGCACAGCTAGAACACCCTTCCATAAGGCCCTGTCTGGCTCCTTCAGGCATGAGGAGTCCTTAACACTGAACCTCTTGGTCCATTTTAAGGCCGTCTAAAGTCCATTTATTTTCTTTTTAAGATTTTATTTATTTATTATACAGAGATGACAAGTAAGCAGACTTGTAAGCATACAGAGGGAGAGGGAGAAGCAGGCTCCCTACTGAGCAAGGAGCCCGAAGCGGGCCCATCCCAGGACCCTGAGACCACAACCTGAGCCAAAGGCAGAAGCTCCACCCACTGAGCCACCCAGGCGCCCCTAAAGTCAGTGCATTTATAAGTAATCTCAAAACCTCACACTGACGGTGGGCTGGATCAGCACTGTCAGCAGCAGAGGGATGGAAAAACCAGTTGATGAGACATAAGCAAAATAGGAAGAATCACTCATTTTCTAATTTGATAACTTTCCTGGAGCAGCAAGGAGAGGACGATTTAAATGCTGAATTAAATCTCGCAAATCCCATTGTGATCTCCAAATTCTACTTCATTCTTCATTTAACCTTCAAAAAACAAGCACAGAAAAACAACTTTTTTTTTTTTGGGTCTGCTCGAGACTGCCAGTTTCCTCGCGTTCATTATAACGTTTTTCTGTCTCCCATTTCTGAAAATTCCCTGCAGGCTTCACTGGTGTTGCTGAGAAGTGTACCATTCCTTGTGCTGGGAATTCCAACACACAACACCAGCTCGTCCTATACTTAATTCTTACATCATGGTGTTTGCATGAGCTCTAGTGCTTGACTCTGGGATCTTTATATCCAGAGACCATGATTTGTGATCATCTGGATTTGCTGATGATGACGATGCTATTAATTATCAATCAGTCACGTTGGAGTATGCCAAGTGTTTGAATAGATCCGGATCTGTAAAAGCTCTTGTCCTGGAACTAGTATCTGATGTCCCAGATGCCAGTGAGGCAAGGAGAGGACAATGATGGGGGGAGGGGCATTCACAGAGAAGTGAGTGGTGATTTAAGTTGTAGCTTGTGAACAGGTAGTGAATAAACTGCCAGGCATGTAGTTGGAGCTTAACACATTAAAATCGCCGTTCCTGCTCTGTAGCTTACCCAGTGTTTTTATACCGAGTTTGAGTTCTTACTGAATGCTGAGGGAGGGAGGATGATGTGAGCCAGTCACCGGAGTTTAATGAGGTTGGCAAAGTAGGTATTATCCCCGCATAACAAATCAGAATACAGCCTCAGAGAGATCCAGCAGGTAGCCCAAGGGCCCCCAACTAAGGACACAGAGGCACAGAGAACTAGGTCTTTTGGCTATCAAGTTTAATGCTGTTTTCCTGATATCACACTGCCTCCTATAACCATTTTATGCTGCTTTTCCTCTTCAGTACCAGAAGCAGCCAAGCCCGCTCTGGAACTTTCGATGCTCAGAGCACTCACCAAAATTTCTTTTAAATGGGATTGCTTGGTCTTGCCGGGGCAGGCCAGATTCAGACCACCATTAAGGATTCTGTGACGAACTGTAAAGGTTTTATTCTGCTTGATGAATGTGTGTAAACCAGGTCTCTCTTTTTGCCTTTTTTTATCACCCACAAATCAGTAAATTACAGGTAGCCCTCAAAACACCAAGGACCTCCGGGGACTCAGCGCCCTGGAACCGTTTGCCCACTTGTAGCGTGTTAGCTTAAGAAACTGTTTTGGACTTTGCCTCAGCTCCATTGCTACACGTTTCCCTCCCAGAGTGGGACAAAAACTGGAGAGTTAGGAGCCAAGACTCTTGGCCGGGTCCCTGAGGTAAGAACACCCTTTACTCAAGCTCCAAATCTGTGTTTCATTGATCGAGTATTTTAATTTTACTGTGTTCGGTCTTAATGAAGTTCACATAGATAAAGTCATTGGCTGCCTTCAAGAACTGGAGTCTAGCTGAGGATGTGGAACAGACGTGTACACGTTTAATACGAAAGCTGCTGAAGACAACTGAGGTGTTGACTGATACTCATAAAGAATACGTGCTTTCGGGAAAAGCCACTGTCCCGGCCTATCTTCCACCACAGCCAAGCTTCTTCAGAGGGATGGATGCCTTCGCCCTAAGCCTCTGCTTCCTCAGCTCCCGTCCTGCCCTTGATTCTCCTTAATCCTGGCTTGTGTCATTACCATTCCAATGAAACTACTCACCAAAGTCACCCGTTCCTTTGTAGTTGCTAATTAGATGGACCAATTTAGCTTTTATTTACCTGCTGCAGTATCTGAGGCTATTAGCCACTCCTGGCACACTCCGTGGGACACTTTCACTGCCAGATCTTGGCCCTCTTCTCACTATGTACATTCATCACAGCTCATTTCCACCCATTTCCATGACTCCAACCATCACCTATGGCTGGTGACCCCACATTCATCTCCAGGTCACATCCCCTGGATGTCTCTACCTAAGGATCCATAAACACGTCAGACTCCGCATGCAAACTCAGTCATCACCTTTCCTCTTCTAAAATCTCTTCTCTGGTGCTCGCTTCGGTAGCACATATACTAAAATGTCTTAGTCTCAGGAAAGACATTGCCACCCACCGACCATCTAAGCCAGAAATTCATGTCATCTTGGATTCCTGCCTCTCTCTCACCCTCATATGAGTCTTGTCAGTTCTGACTCCTGGGTATCTCGAAGATGCTTCTCTTGGTTCTCTGTGCCTTCATCGCTTACCTGTTCAGATCCTTATCTGCCATCTCTCAGACTGTGTCTAAGCTAAGGTGTCTCCTTAGCTGATATCCTGCCCTTCGTAAGTCCTCTGTCTTCCTAGTGATGGAACCCACAGTTCCTTAGACAACCATTCCAACCCCATTCTCTGTTCACATGGTTGAGGTGAATCAACTCCACCCCCAGGCCCAGACCTGGGTACCCTGCATCACTTCCTCCACCTCAAACCTCCAGCCCCAGAAACTGCTTGAGGAATTGGCACCTGGTCCAGTTAGAATAAAAGCTAATCTGGGGAGTTTTTCTGTATTACCTGATACAGGGTGCTCTCTTGCCCCTGGTGTTGCTAAGGATACAACTTAAGCCTGGGCTTGTGCGCTGCCATCTTGCCACATGAGCAAACTTGCCTGAGAATGGAGCCCACATAAAGGAAAGCAGAGCTAAGGGAGAGGAAAGCAGGAGACTCCCAGTGATCTCGGATTTGAACTCCTGGACTCATCTGCGTGTGGAAGCAGGATATCCTTGGATTTCCCAGTTATGTAAGGAAATTTTTCATTTACACCTAAGTCAATTTGAGTTGATTCTTAGCTTGTATAGCAGTAAGGCAATGGAATTCTAAAAAGAGGAGTTAGTGAATCCAGGACTCCGTGCCTGGGGGTACTAACCACAGGTGGTTCCCCTCTCAGAAACCAGGAAGTGCTGGGGAAAACTGACTTCCGAAGGCTGTGAGGAGTCAGTCCCACTGAACTGAAGGGGC